CTGTCAGTTGTCAAATAAATTAAGACAGAGATAAATAAATTTGCAGGAGTATTTTTAAATTAATTTTTTAAAAATTCATTCATGGGATGATGACATCACTGGATAAGAATGGCAGTTTCCTTCCCTAAAGGACATAGGTGAACAGGTGTCCAACAATGACAATGGATTCACGGTCATCATTAGATTCTTATTTCCAGATTTTTTTTGACTCAAATTCCACCGTCTGGAATGGTGGGATTCAAACCTAGGTCCCCAGAACGTTATCTCGGTCTCTGGGGAGTGATGGACAGCAGACTAAATAGAAAATATCCACTAGAAATCATACAAAGTCTTGGTTTATGTATTCATCATGAGATCCGTCACTGCTATGGACACCAGGTAAAGATCTGAAGAGACTGCATTTCCCCCTGGACAGAGTCACAATGGTCACCAGGTTTCATAGCAGATTGGTAAAGTGCAATCAGGGATATAGTACATGACTCATCCTATGTTTGGATTTAAAACTTTCCTTTGATTGTTATCCACAAAATGAAAGATTACATTGTTTCCAACAAACAAATATCTATTAAAAGTTGAAACATGTCTGTGGAGAGCAATAGAATCAGTAACTGTAAAGGTGTGCAGACAGATCGACCAGGCATAACTAACAAATAAAGGGCCATGGATATCATCATAGAATCCTTGCAGTGTGGAAGATGGCCATTCAGTCCATTGAGTCCACACCAACCCTCCAAAGAGCATCCCACCCAGTCTCACATCTTAGCCTATCCCTGCATTTTGCACACAAGACACTATGGGTAATTCAGCATAGTCAATCTACCGAATTTGCACATTTTTGGACTGTGGGAGGAAACAGCAGCACCTGGAGGAAACCCACGCAGACACAGGGAGAATGTCCAAACTCCACACAGTCACTCAAGGCTAGAATCAAACCCAGGTCCCCAGTGCTGTGATGCAGCAGTGCTGACCACTGTGCCACCATGCAGCCTCAAGAGATCTATGTATAATTTTCTCAATTTTCGAGCTTTTCACACGAAATGTGAGCAATTCAGCATGATCAACAAAGGATTCACCTCCATCTCAGATTCTTGCAGTCAGCCTTGTTTTCGTCTATCCTACTGAACCGAAAACACCCTCTCTGAAATGAGAAGCAGATTCATCATTTCAAGTTCAGTTGACTCTGAATGACTTTGAACTCGAAACATTAATTTTGTGTTTGTCTCTACAGATGCCAGACCTGAGGAGTTTCCACACCACTTCCTGTTTTACTTTGATCTGCAGCATCCTCAGTATTTTACTTCTTTTTCTGATTTCGAGTCTAGTTTGCACTCTTGTATAATTGCTCCCAGCATCTTTACCATCCCCAGGACAGGAATCAGCACATTTTTCTGTGCATAGGTCAGATACTAGCATCTTTCATACCCCAAGGGAGGAAAATCACCTTTATTTTGCAGGCAAAATTTGTGGTTTGGAGTCCAGATGTAAAGATTAAAAGTACCCTGATTGAGCACCTGACAGTGAGTTTTTTTCGTTGAATGGGGTGACAGTCACTGATGTCTCATTCTTTCACAGCTCCATGTATTCCTCGTTGGGACGGTCTAAGCAGACGAATCCACAATGAACCAAAATTCAAGATTCTGCAGATGTTGGAAATGCAGTCTCAAAACAGAAAATGTTGGAAACCTCAGCAAGACAAATAGGTTTGGAAGAGAAATTTAGTGAAAAATGCGTGTTGCTAACCTTTTACCTGAACTGGACGATATTAGTACTGAATAGTTTATAAACTAGGACTGTGTCACGGAAAAGGAGAGTGGAGTGCAGGCTGGATGGCAAATGGCCAATTCCTACCGCTAAATTTGATGTGGAAGTGCCGATTATGGACTGGGGTGGACAAAGTCAGAAGTCACATGACACCAGATTATAGTCCGACAGGTTTATTTGAAATCACAAACTTTCAGAGAGCTGCTCATTCTGCAGGTGGAGTCACCTGATGAAGGAACAAGCAGTCTGAAAGCTTCTGACGTCAAATGAACCTGTTGGACTATAACCTGGTATTGTTTGACTTCTGACTTTGCTCCTAACTAGCATGTTTGTGTGAAAGAATAATGTTTTTGCAAGCAGTTCGGAGGCTGGAGTGACTAAATGACAAAGTTCAAAGTCCATCACAATGATGGTACAAAGCAACATTGTCTATAATGAGAAGTTAATAAACAAATGGGCTAGGAGGCGAAACAAAAGTCAGGTCCAGAGACAGCAAAATGCAAACAGCATTGCCAGTACCTGCTCTCGGACAGAATGGGTGACACAGTTATTGTCCCTGACATTTTAATCATGAATGTTGAGTGTGGAAACGTCACCAGAGGGACCAGGTGTCCTTGGACATATATGACAGAACGCAACAGAAGATTCAACAACCAAATGGCGAATGGTAGGTAAGCTTTTATTACAAAGAGCTTTGAAGAACGAGAGTGAACTCCCCTGGAGTACTGTGAGCAGGTTCCTGTGGTGAGATCTGCCCTGGAGGACTGTGAGCAGTTTTCAGGATAGAAGTCTGCCCTCGAGGACTGTGAGCAGTTTCTGATGACTGAACTAACATGATCTAGAGTGAGTGTAACAAAAGTTCTCCAGACTGATTCCTGGGAAGAGGGGATTTCTGAGCAGAAGAAATTGAGTAAACAGGGCTTATATTCTGTGGGATAAAATCAAAGTTACCACAGTGTTACTGGACAACCAGGCTGTCTCTCATTAGAGACAGACAAATGGTGGTGGCTAACCTGAGAGTCAGGCAAGGGAAGAAGTCAAGAAGGTCACCTCAGCTGGTGAAGGAATTGAACCCACACTGTTGGTACCACTCCACATCGTAAATCAGCCGTCCAGCCAACTGCGATAACTGACAACCAACCTGTGGGATATAGGGAAATAGAAGTGATCTAATTGATTTTTTTTTAAGATGCTTGATAGGAGCAATGCTGAGTCAGTTTCCTCTGGATGGGAAATCTACGACATGGGATAATTGTTTCAGAATAAGGGTGTGGCCATTTCAGATTGAGATGAGGAGCAATTTCTTCACTCGCACCACTGTAAATCTGTGGAATTCTCTATTCCAGGGAGCTGTAGATTCTTGGTCATCGAGTGTTTCCAAATCAGGCATTGTTAGATTTTTGTACATCAGAAATGAGGGAAATGGGGATAATTTGAGAATGTAGAACTGAGGTAGATGACAGGAGGAACAAGATCAAAGGGCTGAATGGCTGTTGACTGTTTCTATTTCCGTATTTGATTCTAGCTTCAAGCTGCTGTTTGTGTGCAGCTCGCACAGTCTCTGTGTCTGTGCAGGTTTCCTCCAGGTGCTCTGGTTTCCTGCCACAGACTAAAGATGTGCAGGTTAGGGTGGATTGACTATGCTAAATTGCCCATAGTGCCCAGGTATGTGCAGACTATGTGGATTAGCCATGTTAAATGCAGTGTTACTGAGATAGGTGTGGGTCTGTGTCGGACACTCTTCGTAAGTTCAGTATGGACTTGATGGGCCAAATGGTCTGCTTCCACACTGGAGGGATTCTATGATCTCCAGAAACAAGCCCAAAAAACATGGTTTGGATATAGCTAACAGTGGAATCAAAAAGCAATCAACAGTTACTCAGAAATTTGCTGGCAGTTAACCAGTCCCGATGAACCAGGAAATCCCTTTTCACATACTGTGCAGGTGGATAGTCTTTAGTCAGTGTGAATGTGTCGATGTATGGTGACAACGTGACTATTTCCAAGCTCTACCTGACAGATACACAACTGTTATTAACATTTTATCCACAATACCAGCACCTTTAATTCAGCAGGAATTAGTAACATCAGTACAAACAGCCCAAAACCATGGTTCATTTGATCATGAGAGCGACAGCAAAATCCTTCAACTGTGGTTCTTTGTGAACTCTCTGGTGTGTTAACAGTTTGGATGACTGAGTGAATGCTTTCCCACACTCAGATCTCGTGAATGGTCTCTCTCCAGCGTGAACCTGCTGGTGTTCCAGCAGGTAGGATGACCGAGTGAATGGTTTCTCACATTTAGAGCAGGTGAATGGTTTCTCCCCAGTGTGAACTTTCTGGTGTCTCAGTAGGTTAGATGAGCAAGTGAATCCCTTCCCACACTGGGAGCAGATGAATGGTCTCCCCCCAGAGAGAACTCGCTGGTGTGTCAGCAGTTGTGTTGTCCGAGTAAATGCTTTCCCACATTCCGAGCAAGTAAATGGTTTCTCTCCAGTGTGAACTCGCTGGTGTTTAAGCAGGTCAGATGACTGAGTGAATCCCATCCCACAATCAGAGCAGGTGAATAGTCTCTCTCTAGTGTGTATTCTCTGGTGCATTTGCAGATTTGTTGACTGAGTGAATGCTTTCCCACAATTGGAACAGGTGAATGGTTTCTCTCCGGTGTCAACTTGCTGGTGTATCAGTAGCCTGGATGGTGAAGCGAATCCCTTCCCACAAGCAGAGCAGGTGAATGGCTTCTCCCCAGTGTGACTCTGTTGGTGAGTTTCTAGCTGGGACGGGTAAAGAAATCACTTCCCGCAATCCGCACATTTCCACAGTCTGTCCCCAGTGTCACTGTGCTGGTGTTTGGACATTTCAGATGAATCTTCACAGACTCTTCGACACACAGACCATGTGCGTTTCTCCCCAGTGTGAATGCTGCTATTTCCTTCAATGTTCAAAATCCTGAGATAATTGGGTTGTGATAAAGTGACTGTCAGATCTGCTTGTGGAACTGTTTGAATTCTCCAATTGCAAACTAAGCTTTCAAACAGAAAGTAAGTGCAGTGAGTGAGAAACCAGAAGAACACACACAGATTGTGAAACTGAGAGACATCCTCTGGACATTTATGGAGCGACACTTGGGGAATATGCTGGATTATTATTAGAACAAATTCATTTATAAATATCCTCCAGGTAAGGGATCCAGTCAGTGTTTGCACAAAACTACCGAAAGAAGAGGTGGAAGAGCCAGCAAGGAGAGGCATTGTATAGATCTGTAACTCAACCTTTCGATCCCTCTGAAAGACTAAGAATAGTGCAGAAGTAAAATTGTGGAAATCTGAAATGAAAACAAAAAATGCTTAGTCAGAGTTGTACAGCACAAAACAATCCCTTTGGTCCCAGTTGTTCATGCTGACCAGATATCTTAAATTAATCTAATTCCATTTTCAAGCATTTGACCCATATTCCTCTAAACCCTTCCTATTCACGTACCCATCCAGATGCCTTTTAAATGTTGTAATTGTACCAGCTTCCACCAGTTCCTCTAGCAGCTCATTCTACACAGGCACCACCCGCTTTCCCTTTTAAAACTTTCCCTCTCAGCTTAAACCAAGGTGTTTAGTTCTAGTCTCCCCTACCCTGGGAAAACACCTTGCCTATTCACTCTATGCCCACCATAATTTTATTAACTTCTGTAAGGTCACCTCTCAGCCGTCAATGCTCCAGGGAATATAGTCTCACCGTATTCAGCCTCTCCCTACAGCTTGAAACTTCCAACTCTTGCAACATCCTTGTAAATCTTTTCTGCACCCTGCCAAGTTTAACAGCATCATTCCTATAACAGGGAGACCAGAAGTGAACACAGTATTCCAAAAGCGGCATCATCAATATCTTGTTCAGCCTATAACATGACCTCCCAACTCCTATACTCAATGCACTGACAAATAAATGCAAGCATAGCAAACATCATCTTCACTACCTTCTGTACCTGCAATCTACCTTCAAGGAACTGTGCACCTGCACCCCAAGGGGTCTTTGTTGCGTAACAGTCCCCAGGGCCTCATCATTAAGTGTTTAAGTCCTGCCCTGATTTTCATTACCAAAACGCAATATCTCACACTTATCCAAACTAAACTTATTTCTGTCACTCCTTGGCCGATCGACCCATCTGTTTAAGTTCCCATTGTACTTGGAGGTAAACTTCTTTGCTGTTTACTACACCAACAATTTTAGTGTCATCTGCAAACTTACTAACCATTCCTCCAATATTCATTCTGAATGATTTATATCAATGACAAAAAGCAGTGGACCCAGCATCGGTTTCAGATTGGTTTCACAGGTCGGCGTAACATCGAGGGCTGAATGGCCTGTCCTGCGCTGTAATGTTCTATGTTCTATGTTCTATCGATCCTTGCAGCACACTGCTGTTCATAGACCTCCAGACTGAAAAAAACAACCCTCCACCATGATCCTGTCTCCGACCTTCAAGCCAATTTTGTTTCAAATAGCTAACTCTCCCTGGATTCCATTTGATCAAATCTTGCTAACCAGTCTATCATGTGGAGCTTTGGTGAATGCCTTGCTGAAGTCCATACAGACAATGTCCACTGCTTTGCCTTCATCAATCTTCTAAGTCACTTCTTCAAAAATCTCAATCAAGTTAGTGAGACAACATTTCCCACTCACAAAGCCATGTTGACTATCCCTAATCAGACCTTGCTTCTCCAAACACATGCAAATTCTGCTCAGAATCCCCTTTAACAATTTACCCACCACTGACATCAGGCTCACCGGTCGATAGTTCCCTGGCTTTTCCTTACCAACTTTCTTAAAGAATGGCACCGCATTAGCCACGCAGTCTTCTGGCACCTCACCAGTGTCTATCAGTGATACAAATATCTCAGCAAGGGGCCCAGCAATTACTTCCCTAGCTTCTCCCAGAGTTTGTGGATAACTCCTGATCAGGTGCCAGGGACCTATCCACCTTTATTCATTTTAAGACGTCCAGCACCTAGTCATCTGTAATATGGACACTTTTCACGACTTATTATTTATGTCTCCAAGTTCTCTAGCTTCCATATCCTTCTCTGTAGTAAATACTAATGCGAAATACTCATTTACTATCTCAGCCTGCAGTTCCACACATAGACAGCCTTGTTGATCTTTAAAGGGGCCCTATTTTCTCCCTGGCTGCTTTTTTGTCTCAATGTAGTTTCAGAATCTCTTGGGATTCCCCTTAACCCTATTTGCCAAAGACAGCTCATGTCTCCTTTTCGCCCTCCTGATTTCCCTTGAGTATACGCTACTGCCCTTATACTTCGAGGGATTGATCCAATTCCTGCAGTCAATACCTGACATGTGTTGCCTTCTTTTTCTTGACTCGATCCTCAATTTCTCTAGACATCCAGTATCCCCTACACTTACCAGCCTTGCCCTTCACATGAACAGGAACATACTGTCTCTGGACTCTCCTTATTTTATTTTTGAAGGCCTCCCACTTTCCAAGCATCCCTTTACCTGCGAATTGTCTCTCCTGATCATCTTTTGGAAGTTCTTGCCCAATACTGTCAAAGTTGGCCTTACTCCAATTTAGAACTTCGAAATTTATATTAAACATGTAAGTTTTATATTTAAACTAAACCCATCTGCCTGCATCCGGCATATATCCCTCTAAACCTTTCTTAAACATGTACTTATTCAAATGTCTTTTAAACAATGCGACTGTACCTGCATCCACCACCCCCTCTGAAAGTTCGTTCCACACATGAACCACTGTAAAAAAAAATGTCCCTCATGTCTTTTTTTAATATGTCTTTCACCTCTCACCTTACCCATATGTTCCCTTGTCTTGAAATCCCCCAACCTAGGGGAAAAAAATAAAAAAAACCCTTGCTATTAACATAATCTGTGCCCCTCATGATTTTATAAACCTCTGTAAGGTCACCCCTTAATGTCCTATGCTCCAGTGAGAAAACTCCTAGCTTTGGCAGTCTATTTTGTTAATCAAGCCCTCCATTCCTGGCAACATTCCAGCAAGTCTTTCCTGAACTGTGTCCAGTTTAATAATCATATTCTTCCTGTAACAGGGCGGCCAGAACTGCACACAATACCTCAAATGAAGCCTCACCAATGTCCTGTACAACCTCAACATAACATCCCAACTCCTATACTGAAAGGTCTGAGCAAAGAAGGCAAGTGTGCTAAACAACTTATTAACCACCCTGTCTACCTGTCTACATAAACTTCAAAGAATTACGGACCTGAGTCTCAGCATTTCTCTGTTCCACAACACCACCCAGGGTGCAACCATCAATTGTGTAAGTCCTACCCTTGTTCATTTTTCCAAAATACCATATCTCACATTTATTCAAATTGAACTTCATCTTCCTATCCTCAACCCATTCACCCAATTGATCAAGATCTCGCTGTCATCTTACATAACCTTCACTAACCACTAAACCACCAATTCTAGTATCATCTGCAAATTTACTAATCTTGTTCCTTAAATTCTTATCCAAATCATTAATATAAATGAGAAACAAAAGTGGACCCTATACCGATTGCTGTGGAACACCGCTGGTCACAGAACTCCACTCGAAAAATCCACCAGCACCACGTTCTCTCCTACAACTAAGCCAATTTTGTTTCCAATTCGCACGCCCTTCCTGAATCACTTGTGATCTAACTTTACTAATTAGTCTACCATGTGGACCCTGTCAAAGGCTTCACTCTCACTCGAGAGGTGCTGCAAATCTGACCCAATTCCCCCGCCATTTGTCCACGGCCCTCTTGATCATTCCTTGAAAAGTTAAATCCCAAATCTCTTTTGAGAATAACTGCTGAATCTGCATCCAGCTGCCATTCAGACTGTTCCAGATCCTGGAAACTTGCTGAGTCAAGTATCTTCACATTTTCACCCTGCATTATTTGCCAATTATCTGAATGTTGTATTCTGCGGTTACCAAATGTTGCCACAATGTTAATAATTTTTCTCTCTCTGCAAACAAATATCCTGGAAACAAATCTACTACTTGAAAAAAATCATTGCTCATCAGCCCCAAGGAGAATTATCTGAGCTTCTGCTGGCTCTCTCCAAACCAGAAACCCATCATAATTTTAATTTACTTATGGGATGTGGTCTTTGCTGCCCAGACTAATATTGATTGCCCATTTTTATTTGATTTGGAGAAAGTGGTGGTGAACTACTTTCTATAACTGCTGCACTCCATGTGCTGTAAGTACACCACTGTGCTGTTTAGACGATAATCCACCCTGGAGCCTCACCACCCTCCCTATCGCAGGAATCATACCTCAAACCTCACTACCCTCCCTATCATGAGAATGACCCTCGAGCCTCACTACCTGCACTATTGCAGGCATCACCGTCGAGACTCACCACCCTCCACATCGCTGGAATGCCTCTCCAGCCTCATGACCTGCCTATCGTTGGAATCCCCCTCTCGCCTCAGAACTCTCACTATCTCTGTAGATTCCTCCAGTCTCACAAACCTCAAAATCTCTGTAATCTCCTCCAGCCTCAACACCCTCCTATCTCTGTAAATTCCTCCAGCCCATATAAACTTCCTTAGCTCTGTAATTGTCTTTACCCTCACAAACCTCCCTTTGTTTGAAGTCTAATCCAGCCTCACAATCCTCACCATTTCTGTAACCTCCTCCAACCTCATACTTTTCCCTATTTTTTATAATCTACTCCAGTCTCAGAACCCTTCTTGTCTCTAATATCCTCCAGCCTCACAAATTTCAATGATATGTGCTTTCCTCTAATAGAATCCTTATGATGATAACCTATTTTTATTCCTCCACTTGATGACGGCACTTTCAATTTCCTGGGCTTCAAGCTCCAGAATTTCCTGGTAAACCGCTTCATCTCTACACCTCACTTTTCTCCCGAAAACATTGACCAATCATGAGTCATTTATTCTAATATCTCCTTTTCTGAAATGGCTTGAAATATTGGTTGGCATCTTCCTATGTGAAGTGTCTCAGAGGTCTACAGTACAGAAAAAAGTCTCTGTGGCCCATCCAGCCTGTGCCGGTTAAAAACCACCACCTAACTATTCTAATCTAATTTTCCAGCACTTGGCCCATAGACATGTCTGCGTTCGCATCACAAGTGTGCATCCAAATATGTCTTAAATGTTATGAGGATCTCTGTGTCTACCACCTTACAGACAGTGATGTTCAGTGGAATTGTCACAGGATGATGACATCACAGACAGGAACAGAGACTAGCTGAGTCTGTGCAAAACAAAGATCACCCACACATTCCGAAGGATGGAAGGCTCCTTGACTGGGGGCAGAGGAGATTTAACAGAATGATTTGTAGGAAGAGGGTTTTTAGTTGCATGGTTAGGGTTATTTTTGACATTATTCTTTCATGTGACTTGGGTGTTGCTGGTACATATCGAGAATATCCATTTACAATAGATGGACTCTCCTTCTCAACCTCTCCCTTCGCCTGGGGTGTGGTAATCTTCAGGTTAAACCAGCCCTATGGTCAGGTAGGACAATGGTGACTTTACCTTCGGCACAGTGATGCCACTGTGCCTCAGTGGTGTACAGGGGAATGTTGAATGTGGTGAATCGGACACCAATGTGACACAGTGCTTCGTCTGGAGGATATTCACTTTCTTTAATGTTGTTGGGGCTGCACTGATGCAGTTAAGTGGAAAATGTTCCAACACAATCCGGATGAGTGCCTCATAGACAGCAAACAGTCATTGGGGAATCAGGTGTTTGGGGAAACTGAGATTGTTCTCCCTGTAACAAAGGATTTTGAGGGGACCTTTGATAGAGGTGTTTACAAAAGATATACATTAGGATGATAAAATGTACATCTTCAACTGATCATAAAAAGGATTACAGGACATATATTGAAAGTTTTAGGGAAGATCTATTGAGAGAATGGGGTGATTTAACAGAGAAATTTTACACGGCAAATGGGAATGAGCAAGAACACAATACTCACACACAATGCGAATATCCAGGTCCTGATGAATTGAATAATTCTGTCAGAGTTTGGTGTTACAATTATTGAGTTTCCCACCTGAAAGTCCACTTGTAATATTCTGTAACACAAACTCATAAAATCCGTCACAGTCAGTCCAGGGTAAAAATTCACAACATCCCCTCCTCCTGGCCGAGGTTAACTGTGCATTGTCCCTGCTACACATTATCCCTTGTGGACGTCAGCAGTTGATTCAGGAGGAAATCTATTTGGGTTTCTAGGAGTTTCCACCTTGGAACTTCATGTCACTGAACAGAACAGCAGGTCTTTGACACATGGCAAAAAATGGCCAAGAGTTAGTGAGATGTAGACGGCAGGATTCGCTTCCTTTTCTTTCCTTCCGTGCTGCTGCACTGCCTCATCAATGAGGCATTGGGCCGGAAAAGATAACGCAGCTTGATGGACAAGTTGTCTCGATTCTGAACAATGGACAGAAAGCTTCTCCCAGTCATTCGTAAGAATGCCCCTTAAAAAGATAGCAATTACGTCTGTGTCGTCTTGCCCAGTGCTCCCAACAAAAAGATTATAATGAGGGAGGATCTCATAAAAAAGGGATAACAGTCAAGTTCCATGAGGGTTACAGTTTATGGAGAGATATTGATAAATGGGCGACAAGTTGGCAAATGGAGTATAATGTGGGAAAATGTGAAGTTGTTCATTTTTGAGAAGACAAAGTGTTTTGAGAAGAACACAGTGTTATTTAAAAGGTAAAAACTGTGGAAAACTGCAACACAAATGGACTCAGGAATAATTGCGCAGGAAACACGAAGAGATCACACAGTTGCAGCAGGTAATCAGGAAGGGCAATGGGATGTTATCCCTTATGTCAAGGTGTTTGCATTATAAGAGTTTGGAATATGTGTCTCAGGACAAATGTACAAATTGCTGGTAAGACAACATCTGGAGGAATGTGAGCAGCTTTTTTGGTCCACTTATTCAAGCAAGTATATCACTTCACTGGAGGCATTTCAGTGAAGATGAAATAGGATGATCACTGGTTTGGAGGGATTATTTTTTAAGCTAAGACTAAACAGGTTTGGAATCTACTAACGAGATTTTCAAAGAATGAGAGATGATCTAATTAAAAATATAGGATTCTTAAGGGAGTTGACAGATAAATGCTGAGGGGATATTTCCCATCGAGGGAGCAGATTCTTGATCAGGCGGAGAATAGAGGGTTCTCTTTTGGAATCGTCAAGTTTAAGACAACACAGACATGGGTAAGGGGTTTCAGTTGCAAATGAGCTGGAGTGAGGTGGAGAGAAGGAGCATTTTAGAGATTGAAATTTCTGGCATTTGTGATTGAGAATATGTATGGTAAGATGTTCATCTTGAGGCCAGATATGAGAGCATTATTGAGAAGAGTGCAGTTCAGCCTCAGACAGTTCCCAGTGAGAGGGATGGATTCAGTACAGTAGTAAGGAAAAGTAATTTGTAATAACAACTGAAGGCAGTGGGTTTAACTATCACAAAGTGTTATTGGAGGAAATTTCAGTTAATCAAGTAGTGGAAGCATGATAAGCAGTTTTATAATTGAGTAACAATGGAGCAAAGGAGAGTGATTGAGGGGAGTTAGATCTGAACATTGTAGTATACGTGTGAAACCTAACACGGTGCTTGTGGAAGATCTCACCTCCTGGCAGTATGTCGGTGAGGAACAGGATGGGCCAAGGATAGATCCTTGAGGGACATCGACTACATGGATTTCAGACAGGAAAGAGAGAGTGGACATGGAGTGGGATTTTCCAATGACAGTGAGGTCAAACATTGGTTTAAACAGAATGGGTGAGAAGGACATAACCAGAAAAGAGAAACAGACAGAACAAGTAACAATACCTGTGAATTGGCATGGGGGAGAGGCAAGGAGGAGGAGAAATAAGAGAGAGTTAGAATGTTTGTAGTTTAGGAGAATAGGTCAAAGGGTTAAGATAAGCTCTGATAAGGCTTTACACGGGACTGGAGAAAGATGCAAGTTTCGGACTAAAACAAGGAGGAACATGCAAGGCAATTTTGGTTTGGTGGGCGAGTGGAAGAGAGGGAAGCAGCAGAGGCAGCTGATTGGATTGTCTCAATCTTAGTGACATAGAAACTCCATGTGTCTCCCTCACTTGTTGTTGGAGGGGAGGATGGAAGAGACAGGATGATGGACAGTGTTTTGCAAAGAAACAATGCCTTTGTTAGAGATATTTAAAAATGACTGAACAAACCTGATGAATTTAACTTTTATCCAGTATAATAAAATGTACAACAGCAGTCCGGGTTCGAATCCCATCTCAGCAGATGGTGGAATTTGAATTCAATAAAAAATAACTGGAATTAAGCATCAATTGGTTGCCATGGAACCATTGCTAATGGCAGAAAAAAATATCTAATGTCCTTCAGGAAGAGAAATTTGCCAACCTCAGCAAGCCACCCAGTTGCAAATCACTGCAAAGTCTCAACAAAGGAATGAAACTGGGTGGACCACTTGGCATCTACCAGGGCACTAGTAAAGACAACTGCAGAATCAGCCCTATCGACCCCGCAAACTCCTCCTTCCTAATATCTGGGGACTAGTGGCAAAATTTGGAGAGCTGACTCAAAGACTAGTCAAGAAACAGCGTCATATGCATGGAATCATACCTGACAAACAATGGCAAACGTCACCATCACTGTCCTTAGATAAGTCCTGCCCCACGAGCAGGACAGACCCGGCAGACGTGGCAACACAGTGGTATTCTGACTGGATTGATCTCACCTGAGAGTACTCGACATTGACTCTGACGCCTGGAAGTCTCATGGCTCCTGCTGATTATCATGTACCATCCTCCCTCGGTTGATAAATCGGCAGCACTATTATCGCTAGATTATTAATCCAGAGACCCAGATAACATTCTGGGAACCTGGGTTCGAATCCTGCCATGGCAAATGGTGGAATTTGAATTAAATAATGATCTGGAATTAAGAGTCTAATGATGACCATGAAACCATTGCCGATTATCAGGAAAGACCCACTTGGTTCACTTATGTTCTTTCGGGAAGGAAATGTGCCATCCTTACCTGGTCTGGACTACATGTGACTCCAAACCACAGCAATATGGTTGACTCTTAACTGCCTTCTGGGCAATTAGGGATTTGCAATAAACGCTGGTGCAGCCGGCGATTTCCACATCCCAAGAGTGAATTTTAATTAAAAAAAACTCCTTTATGTTGAACAGCATTTGGAGGAAGCACTGAGAGTGTAAATGGCACCAAATGTACTCAATGTCCACCAACAGGAGTCATTTGCAGCAAGATTACCAATCAAGCTGGTCGGGTCCTAAAGGACAAAGCTGCCTGGCTGGGACTGCAGCAGGTGGTGACGCAACCAACAAAAGGGAAAAACATAGCTGATCTCATCGTCACAAATTTCCCAGCTGCAGATGCATCTGTCCATGACAGGATTGATAACAGCGACCACCGCACAGTCCTGTGGAGACAAAGCCTCATCTTAAACTTGAGAATACCCTCCATTGTGTTGAGTGGCACTAACATCGGCTAAATGGGACAGACTTGGAACAGATATAGGAACTCAAAACCAGATATCTATGAGGCTCTGTGAGACATCAATAGCAGAACTTACTCCAGCACCATCTGTAACCTCATGGCCCAGCATATCCTGCACTCAACCAACACCATTGATCCAGGGGATCAACACTGGTTGAATGGATAGTATAGGAGGGCATGCCAGGAGCAGCACCAGGCATACCTAAAAATAAGGTGCCAACCTGGTAAAACTACCAAACAGGACTATCTGCATGCCAAATAGCATAAGCAGCAAGAGTTAGAGCTAAGCCACCCCATAACCAATAGATCAGATCTAAGCTCTGCAGTTCTGCCACACCCAGTCGTGAATGGTGATGGACAATTAAACAACTCACTGGAGCAAGCATACCAAAAATCCCCATCCTTACTGACAGAGGATCCCAACCTATCCATGCAAAAGATAAGACTGCAGCATTTGCAGCAACCTTCAGCCAGAAGTGCCAATTGGATGATCCATCTCAGCCTTCTCCAGAATTCCCCAGCATCACAGGTGTGAGTTTTCATCCAATTTGATTCATTTCAAATAATATTAATAAATGGATGAATAGTGCAAAGGTTATGGGCCCTGGCAACACTCTGGCAATAATACCGATGACTTGTGCTCTGGAGTTTGCGACCCGCCAAGCCAAACTATTTCAGTACTGCTACAGCACTGGCATCTACCGGCAATTTGGAACATTGCCCAGGTCTGTTCAGTACAAAAACACAGAGCAAATCCAACCCGACCAGTTTCCCCTCAAGCAGTCTACTCTCTATCATCAGTAAAGTGATGGAAGGTGTCGTCAACAGCGCTTTTAAGCAGCACTTACTCAGCAGTAACCTGCTCAGTGACACTCAGTTTGGGTTCTGCCGGGCACTCAGTTCCTGATCTTATTACAGACTTGATCCACAAATTCACAAACAGCTGAATTCCTGAGGTGAGGTAAGGGTAACAGCAGAGCCCTGCACCAAAACCACTTATTTCCACTTGTGACAATGACCCGACAATGACACCTTAGTTTCAGCTCATCTGCTGAACCTCTCATCTATTCCTGTGTTACCTCTAGACTTCACTATCAAAACACACTCCCAGTCGGCCTCCCACATTCAACGTCCCTGTAATCTCAAGAATATCTAAAATTCTGCTGCACACATGTTCATTTGTACCAAAACCTGTTCACCCATTATTGCTGTGCTCCCTGACCCACAAAGGCTCCTATTTATAAGCAACAACAATTTAAAATTCTCACCCTTGATTTAATTCCTGGCTGTGACGATCCCTATTGCCCTGCACCACACAACTTTCGAGACTTCAACAACTCATTTAGTTTCAGACTCCAACAATATGTTTAATCATTGCTTCACTTTTGGAGGCTGTTTCTACAGTTGCCAGGTAACATTGCCTGGAATTCCCATGATAAACCTCTCAGGTTTGCTTTCCTTCTTTAAGAAAGTCATGAAAACCTGCGAATTTGGTAATGCTTTTGGTCACCTGACCTAATATTTATATCTGTGGCTTTACATCAAAAGGTCCTTGATAATGTTTTTGTGAAATTATAAACATGATAAAAATAAAAATTGTTTGTTGATTTGGACATACACCATCAGCTCTTCAGTATCGCTAGATGAATGATCTGTAACTTCTCAAATGACCGCATTGTGGGAGCACCTTCATCATACGAACTGCAGCAGTACACGAAAGTCAAACATCACCTTTTCCACAGGCAACAGGGCTTTGGCAACGATTGCTGGTATCTGTGGAAGGAGAAACAGAGTAAATGTTGCAGAAGTGCAAAATGAATGACATGTAATAAAAATGCTGTAGAATTTGATGGTCTGAAATGGAAGGAAAATGCAATCTCTTTCTGGGAAAATAATTCCTGATTGTGAAAGATACCATTCAAAAATTAACCTGGTAAGAGAGCAGCACATGGTCAGCGGGTGGGCAGCAGTGGAAAATTTATTTCCAAAAGGTATAAGAAAGTAACAGTAAAATACTAAACAGAGATCAAATATATCCATCATCAGAGACTGAAGAGATTAGATACCGACAAAGATGCGATCAGGGAGCACAGAAGTGAGCAACAGCAGTGTTTGCTGCTATGATCCCACACTCTGGGAAAGAAATCCAGAAGAAACAAACATTTATCTTGAGATAACAAGGTGTAGAGCTGGATGAACACAGCAGGCCAAACAGCATCAGAGGAGCAGGAAGTCTGACGTTTTGGGCCTAGACTCTTCTTCAGAAATGGGGGAGGGGAAGGGGGTTCTGAAATAAATAGGGAGAGAGGAGGAGGCGGATAGAAGATGGATAGAGAAGATAGGTGGAGAAGAGACAGACAGGTCAAAGAGGCGGAGATGGAGCTAGTAAAGATGAGTGTAGGTGGGCAGTTAGGGAGGAGCTAGTTCAGTCCAGGGAGAACGGACAGGTCAAGGGGGCGGGATGAGGTTAGTAGGTAGGAAATGGGGGTGGGGGTTGAGGTGGGAGGAAAGGATAGGTGGGAGGAAGGACAGGTTAGGGAGGCGGGGACAAGCTGGACTGGTTTTGGTGTGCGGTAGAGGGAGGGGAGATTTTGAAGCTTGTGAAGTCCACATTGATACCATTGGGCTGCAGGGTTCCCAAGCGGAATATGAGTTACTGTTCCTGCAACCTTCGGGTAGCATTTCTCTTGTTTGAATTTGCTCTGTGTAAATCCTCTCCGATCACTTTCATTTCTGAAGAAGGTTCCAGACTCGAAACGTCAGCTTTCCTGCTCCTCTGATGCTGCCTGGCCTGCTGCGTTCCTCCAGCTCCACAACTTGTTATCTCACTTTCAACCAGAGACGGCTGCGCATGCGACCAACTTCACCTTGGCCCTTTCAAAGTTTCAAAGCTCCCGCGCATGTGCCCCGCGGATCATTGCCCCCAATAAAGATGGTGGCGGTCACACGGGCCTATCGCCATCTGAGGCGCTGATTTGTTTTCTACAAACATGAGTATGGGAGTTTCAAATATGTGTTTTCCGACGTGCACTAAGTGTTTGTAAAACTTCCAAACCCATACGAATATCACTTCCCTCCCGCTTTCTGCCGCTTTTCTTTCTTTACCGTGTCCTGCTCTGACCTCAATTGCACAAATCTCGGTCTCAGCGACTCTGCACTGCGCGCCTGGATGATCACGTGGTTTACACTGGTCCCGCTCCTTCTTCACTCTGATTGGTTAGAAGGGCAGCTACGTCCGACCGGTCATCCACGGCGCCCCTGTGCTCCTATTGGTCCCGCACTGACATCAATCACCCAGACTCCATCGTGAGCTGGAGCATGCGCAGTACTTCTTGTTGTCATTATCAGAACCTCATGATCGTCATCAGAATCTTGCATTTTCAGACAAATGAAAATTAGAACTAGATTAGAAAGATTGTTACGTTAGCGATCCTGGGATTTTAATAAGTCGTTCTGAGGAAGGGTCACTGGACCCGAAAAGTTAACTCTGTTTTTTGCCTTCACAGATGCTGCCAGACCTGCTAAGCTTTTCCAGCAACTTTGCTTTTGTTCCTGATTTACAACATCCGCAGTTCTTTCGTTTTTTTTTTAATAAATCGCGTTTGAAAAAGCTTCCTGTGGCTCAGAGCTAAGGACACTTTTGATACTGCTGTGTCAGCGAATAGAGAAATGGTGGTGAAATAAGTATAATAAATACAGGTATAGCAGTCCTCAGGTAAGATGTAAAGAGAATAATTATGAATATGAAGAACATCACGTGGTTAAGTGAGGTGAGTGTTGTTCATATGAACTGTGACTGGGCAGAGAGGGAAGTTAATCAAAGAAAAACAAGGATAAAAGAGATTATCAAGAAAGGTCTGTGCAATGGAAAGCAACAAGAATTGGAAGATAAAAGCCCAAGACAGAGGAAAAAGTTTGAGGACCGAGGCTGCAAAAGCTACAATAAATTGTTTCACTGCTCTACTGCCTAGTTATTGACATAAGCAGTATAACCCGCATTCAACTGGAAATAGCTGTCTGAGTTTGTCACTGTAGTTTGCTTCATAACAGATACTTCTCCACACTTTGTCTCAATAAAGCTGATAGTTGGTTCACAACTTAGTTCTGCTGCCAAGTCCGTTCCTGCTGAAAAGGTGTGTAGATCACATTTAAATAGATGCTAAATGTCAATCCAGGCTGGCAGCCAAACTCCACGCCCTCACCACTGACTCCATCCCTGCCCCTGGTAACTGGCTGCTAACACACTGCTCACAATCATGGTGCAATATTTCACCCCAAGATGAGCTTCCAACCACATTACTCACGCCCACACCCATCATCACAAAGATCACATACCATTTCAACTTCAGTAGCATCTCAGTTCATCTGCTGCTGAAACTCTCATCCATTCCTTTGTTACCTCTCGACTTAACTCCCCAAACACACTCCCGGTCGGCTTCTTAATTCCACTTCCCTATAATCTTGAGGTGATCCAAAAATCTGCTGCCCATGTGTTTACTCTTACCCATTTCAATATCTTCGTGCTTTGCCATCCTGTGCTCACTAACATACAAATTTTCTGGGTGGCTGAGCACCAAGATATTGAAATTCATATCCCTATTTTGAAATGTTGTCATCACACCTCCTTCTTTTGATAGTCCGTCCAGCCTCAAAACCCTCTGAGATATATTTGAAGAAGTGTCACTGGACCCAAAACAATAATTCTGCTTTCTCTCCGCAGGCACCACCAGATATGCTGAGTATTTCATCAATCAACAGTAAAGGAATTAAGGGTTATGGTGAGTGGGTGGGTAAGTGCAGCTGAGTCTCAAAGATCAGCCATGATCTCATTAAATGGCGGGGCAGGCTCGAGGGGCCAGATGGCCTACTCCTGCTCCTAGTTCTTATGTTCTAATTTCTGTTTGTGTTACTACTTTCAAGCATCTACAGCTCTTTTTTGTTCTTCCTGACTTCCAACCTCCTGTGGATTTCTGTTTTTAACTCTCCCACCTTTTTCATGCTTTCAGTTTCCAAGGTCATAAGCTCTTGAATTTACTGCCTAAACATCCCTGATTTTCAAAGTCCCTTTGTTTGTTCAGGATATTCCTTAAAACCTACTTCTTTGGCCAGTTTTTAGTCACTTGTCCTAATAAGTCCATAAGTGCCTGGTATCAAATATTGTTTTATGACAAGCTTGTATAATATGTCAGATCATTGGATTGAATTAAAAATGTGAAAATATTTAAATTGCTCATTTGGAAAACAAAACTAATCCTTCACAATCTTTTGGTAACTCCTTACCCAATAGCATTGCAAGTGCAGTTTCACCACACGGCCTGCAACGGTTCAGGAAGGTCGAACATCAAATTCTCCAGAGGTAACTGAGGATTGGCAACAGTTACTGATACCTGTGGAGAGTGATCCAAAGTTAATGTATCAGGATATGGTGAATGAATGACAGGGTGCAGAACTTGTTGGGTAATATAAGCTCAGAAACAGAACAGAAAACAACTGCATTAAGAATAATTCCTGACTATGAAACATACTGTGGGAAGACAAAGCTTCAAAATCCATAGGGTTTGATCAAAGAAATGTGGTGGAAACCTCATCTAGACATAATTTGATAGAGTCACAGAAGCATTAAACATACAGGTGCTCACACATTATTAGTGACAGAGGGAAGGCAGAAGTGAAACAGAGCAATATACTGAAATGGATTCAGATCCATACTAAAGGAGACACACCAGCCCTGGAGCTACAGAACCTCTCACAGGTAACAGGCACAACACTAAAACTCAA